TCAACAAACGAGCGCCGACTCGATAGTCTTCACAAAGGCTCTGAACTTCTGAACTGGAAGAACGATGGGCTTTTCCTTCGAGCAAGGAGGACCACCGGAGCAGTCTCGCACGCAACAAGGCCAGATGGAGAAGTTACTGGTGGTCGTGGAGAAGCACGGGAGCAACGGGCGACAGGTGATATACGTGAAATATGACGCAGTAGGTGCAAACTGACTCGCTAACGGAGAAAAAACAATATAATAATTAATTTAATCGTTCTTTAACTTAATTTTGATTTAAAAACATATCCACAATAAGGTCCACTCTTCACTAGTATCGTGCGGGGGAATAGGAGATTGACGTGCAATTTAATCTTGGGAGGACCTCCTTTACTTGCTACTTCTTCTACAAGCTCCAATTTCTTGTATATCAAAAATCATCCAGCTGAATATCAAACATCCATGACTGTATTTACTTAATGGGAAGCATTCGTGATTTTGCCGTTCAGAGATCGCTGCGTTGTTGTCTCCCTCGTGTGTGTGTGACTTCAACGACTCGGCCTCGGCGCGCAGCAGAGTGGGCGGAGACCTCCAGCTCCCCCCGTCAGCCTTGCTGCTATCATTCAACCCTGACGAAGTTTCGACACCTTCGTGTTTGGGTATACGTTATAGTAAACGCTGTCGCTTGGAGTCAATTACCAGTTTGTCGTTGGTACTGTCGCTGCTGATCTGCCGTTGTTTGGCGCCTTTATCCTTCATAGAAGCTCCCTACTGTGCTCATTTTTTCCTCTTCTGGTAATAAACCGGTTATTTTTGCAGATTTCTTTCAACTTTTGCCTCTGAATCAACAAATTTTATGAATTTATTCACTTCTCATGTAGGATACCTCGCTTACACTTCTTTCATTTCACGTTTCTGATAAACAGGAGGGCACCTTTTCCTTTCCGAGCTCAATGAGAGGTTTAGTTTCGATATCATTGAAGGTCTAGAGTATACATTAGGGGAAACAGAGGGTCGAAACAATAGCGTTTGATTCGAGCAGAAGCACCAGGATGCGCCGCACCGATGGCGTAAATTGTCTGAATAAAACAAACAATGAATTGCGGCGATGCCAATATAACCACGGTTGCTGCTTGTTTCCATTTGCATTACGAATCAGCTAATTAAACAGAATTGAAGATAAACGTTTGGAAGATATGAAGGAATTCGACCACGGCAGCTGAACGTCGTTTGTAACAACGTTATGAATAGCGCTGTTTGTCGGTTTGGTTAAACTGGCGACAGCACGGCGCGCAATGCCGCGTTCATAATGCGCGTCATGAGCATTGCTTTGTTCCGATTTACTTGACATATTTATTCGAAGATGCCTTTCAAATCCATGATCTTAGCAAATAATACCTAATTCCAGTAACAAAACTACGGAAAGATAGTCGGTTTATGGAGAATATCAAAAAAAAATCCGAAAACCAAACACTGGCCGTTATCTAATATGAAACTCAACATAATCTCTTATATACTTTAGACGGAATGGTGGAGTGGAAGTGGACGCGAGCGGTCCTGGGGATCAAATCCTGGGTCGTGAGTCGCCCGGGCCAACCAAGCCTTCCATCCCTCCGGGGTCGGTTAATTGGTACCAGACTTGTCTGGGAGGATAAAAACACTGACTTGAACATCGGCTGGCCCCCGCAAGTCATTGTATAGGCCACACCGCATTCAAACGCTACTACGAATGTACAAATGGAAGTAAAATGCGGCCGACATCCCAAAACGATTATCAACAGCGTCCTTATTTATCCTTATGTAACACTTTATGATGTTATGGGGTGTTGTTTGAACGCCTTCTAGAGTTCGCGTTGTTTTACGAAGAAACTTCTTTTATCAGATTTTTCAGATCAGATAAAACTGGACGTGAGTTAGTCCTTCTTACACTGTATTGTTTGTCGCTTACTCGCTTACACCTACCATATTTTATACCTATGTTCACCGCGGGGTGGAATTCAGTCGGGACTGTAAACATTCCCAAGGCAAGCTCATGTATCCCATGGTTTAATCTATTCACTGCGTTCTTAGCTGGTGGGAGAATCCGGAAAGACGTCTGGGAGATAGTGATTTGTAGATTCGGGAAGCGGGAAGAATCGGCAACTTCGCGGAAAGAACTAAATATATCAATTGAGCGAGTTCGTTCCTCTTGTTTTGCAAGATGTATAGTGTTTTCGATCGATTCGTATTCAATTTTTCCCGATGGTTTTCAGATCCCAGAATTCTCCAGTTTGGCGAAAAGTATAAATGAAAGTGGTACTGCGCCCAACTAATTTATAAGCTTTTCCTTTGGCTCTCGGAAACTTCTTCTTGACTTGAAACGACAGTCTGGATTTTGTTCCGAGTGATCGTCGCTGCAGTAGAGCCACAGTGAACGCAAGGGGTAGCGATTTTCCGCGCGTGTTTTCTCAAATTTCATTTGGAAACACTGCAAAAATACCGTAGCACTAAAACGGGTAGTAGTTGATGGGGAAGGGGGAACAAATCTTCTGCAGTAGGACGTACCACCATCAGAGTTACATTTTTTTGCCCAGGAGGAAACTCAGAAGTCAGCTAAAAAGTTTGTTTGCGAAAGTAGAGAGCTAGATTAGCGCGAAAATGAATACGTCCATCATAGCTCTTAATGTTTGGGTACTGTCCACTAAGATCCGCGCTCGTAGCTACAACTGAACGTGGGCGTATTTGACAGAGCGTTTTCTCACAAAAAGGCAGTTATCCTTTCTAGAAAAGAGCTGGGGAAGATATGTAGGTAATCTGTAGCCTCCTGATAAACAAGTTGTCAGCTGACGCTTAGAAATGCGCTCAGCTTTACGTTATAGCTGCTCTCATTCCTACTCACTCATTACAATGGCATGAAACTGCAACGTCAACAGGGCTCTTTAATGTGCAGCTATATCTTCTCAAAACAGCTATTCCAAACCCGCCCATCTTGTTGGTTTGCCAAATGAGTGGAGAAGTCGTTAGAAAGGGGAACAATATTGCTGAGCTTGTCTCCAGGCTTTTAGGCGATCAGTCAAGAGCTAACAAAAGGGTCAGAGAGCGGGGAGGGGCATCGATTCCATATTTTACTTTTTATGCATGGAACTGTGCCCTTAGGTATGTGTTTCACCTATTGAAGGAATTCATAGAATTCGTAACAGGCTCTTCTTTGAAAACCGCCAAACAGCCACTTTCAGCTTCTCGATCATTCCTCGAAATGTATTGCATTTTGCACTATTTTTGAATTTCTTAAAATTCCTCTGTAAACATTAATATTTAAAAATCCGTCGTCGCAAGAAATCTCGTGTCCTTTTTCACATGAATGACACTTCAGCTTCACTTTTCAGATGCCACCAACTGAAGCAGTCGAACTCCATGCAAATGTCGTCCAGGAGGTGCTTTTTGCTCCTCTCCCTTGTTCGTTCTCCGTAATGCCAATTTTTCAGGTGCGCTCGCAAGTGGCCGATATCCTCCATCCCCGCTATGATACTCACTTCAACATCCTTCGGTGGTTGCAGTCTTGCGATTTTAATGTCCAGAAATCAGTTCACAACCTTCGAAAACATCTGAAATGGAGACGCGAACGACATCTGGACGAGGATGGTCGTGGTCTTCAGAGTTGTGCAGTGAGTTATTCCTCCGTGCGCTCGTCTCCATGGCAATGCTCACTCAGCTGAGTGTAATAGAGCAAATACAAGTTTTCAGGTGACAGCTGAATACGCCCCAGTTTCGATTATCGGACCAAACCGGAAGAACGGAGATCGGCTGATTGTCGTTGATCAGAGCGGTGAGACTTTACAGAACGCACTGAGACAACTCGTCCATATAAAATATTAAACTTAGGCCCAAATTTATGGATGGGCTTGACCTTCGTGATTTTGGGCTTTTTGATCATGTTTGTGCTAGCAATCCCATGATATTTAAGCAGTTGTCCGTTCCTCCCTTATCAGAGCCGCTCGCTTCGTTTACTTGCCCTTCTCTCGCAGAGTGTCCTTTAGGATAAACTTATTGCGAAGTGAGATATGGTGGGAAAATATCGATCACCTGGGAGCCTTCAC